ATAGATAGATAGATCGATAGATAGATAGATAGATAGATAGATAGATAGATAGATAGATATAGATAGATAGATATGATATATCTTTACATGCATATACATATGTAAATATAGAGCACTGATTTCAAACACAGAGCTGCATAGTGTATATCATCGTCCCAGCGGAACGTTTGAGACACGCCGTAATAAAACTGTAATGGCTTTTACCCGGGAATTGAACTCATGCTTTCTGCACGAAACGGCCAGGGGCCTTAACTCATTGAGAGCACGCATTCTGTAATTCGGTAATGCCAGCAGACACACGAACGAGTCTGGGTAAACCCTAAAGGCCATAACTCTGGTTTACAGCTATTCACTTATTTCATTGAAATGTTGTGTTGTGTAGTCTCCCCTGTCGTGTTGCCATACCAGGGACTCTATTTCAAGCAAACTGTGGCTTAGACCTTTTACATTCCTGACCCCTTCAATTGGAGTCAAACCTGCTTCAACGGCTGCCTGTCCAAGACAATTGCCTTTACAAACAACCAATCCATATGCCCCCTCACCCCCCACCCTCCCACCCCTTTTTTTTCTTCTTTTCTGCATTAAAAAAAAAAATAATATCACTGTCCAAAAAGACCACCTTTCTAAGGTGATCACTTTTCTCCTCGACAATGAAATGCCGACTTTGGCAAGTTCGACTGTATCTAAATTCTGCCGGTTGGGGGCGTAAAACATCTACAGTTGCTGTTTTACTGACCATAAGAGCGTAAGTAATGGACAGGCCAACCATCCCAGGGGGGACGACTCCCCTGTTGAGCGTGGTGAACAGAGTGGCCGCCAGGATAAAGGCGTAGCTCATCATGTCCAGGCGGGACTGGATCCACCTGAGGACAGACACAGACATCCGGGAGCCAGTTAGTCACAGGTATTAAGCCCCACATTTTGATTGTATTTTTCTGTTTAATTAGCAGGTTTGTATTTACTCTGTGGTAAAGGTTGCATGTGGTCAGTTCTGTCAAAATTCAAATTCTAAATGAAGACAAAAAGCAAAAAAAGATGTATAAAGACACAATTGATAAGCAAATAAAACCTCCTCCTCCTCCTAGTCCTCATCATCATCATCATCATCATCATCATCATCATCATCACCATCATCATCATC